GAGGATAGGGATGATAGAGAGAGAGAGAGAGAATGGGAGCCAAAGAGTGAGGCCTATGGGACAGGTAGGCGATAAGGGATGCCTTTATTTAGCATTACATTCATTGTATGTTTGAGAGAAATGGGTCGACAGGAGGGGAACCGTATGTATGGATAAGACAATAGAGAAAGTAATATAATATGCGATCAAAATAGGAGATAATGATAAGACATGTTGTCTAAGACTCACCCAATTTGCCACTCGTTCTTCGTTTGACTCGCAAACAGATAGTCCGGGACCTAATGCACTGTCAGACACGACAATACCATCATTATATCACTTGTCATACATTTTATGAAACAATTTATGAAACCGTTTCCCACTTTCGTGTTTACAATACAATTGTAATTAACGTTTCAATGAATGAATGTTTCAATGAATGAATAAATGAGGAAATATTACACAAAACAATGCGACAAAAAAACAATAATTATTGTTATTATTTGTAATGATTTGCCATTCAGTCCAATGCTATCACAACCCAAACGTCAAACGTATAGCAAATATACGAATGAAAGTCACTTTCGGTTCATTAAAACACAATTTTGTGTTTATTATAAATAATTTATTATTATTTATGATTTAATACTCAATGATCTCATAGAGAAATGTAAGGATCGAGTAATCAATGGCACAATCAATGACACATACCTTCACTACAAATACACTATTAATGCATATATTCTTATGGATTAACAAATCGTTAGTATTTTTATAAACGTTATGAAAACAAATGCATTAATAATTGCAATGAATTTAACGGCAAAAATGTAATGAATGTCTGTTTTGTGTGTATTTTTTGAACACAACTTTTTTTGTACCAAAAATTGCGAACAAAACACTGACTTCACAATAAAGAGGGAGAGAGAGAGTGGGAGAGAGAGTATGTAAATTGCGAGACACCTGCCTATGAGAGCGAGAGAGAGCACAGGCATTATGATAGGGAGCAAACACCCGACCCCTCTCTCTCTCTCTCTACCCGTTCATAATTGTGACCAATAGAGGGGTCCACTGTATATACACTGGTATATTGTATATCATTGATAGTGATTGTGAGCGCCAACACACAAAACCCATGGATATATCTTTCATACAGTGATTGCCCACTATTTTAAAGCCGAGATTATTCTTGAGCTTCACTTTTTGTTGTCTCCCTATCTCTATATTTCTCTACATTTCTATCATTTACTTAATCTCTCTTTTTCTCTCTCTTATCGCCAACTTTTCTGCTGTGAATTATTTAACTATTTTTTTGAGTTTATTTTCTCTCGCATTTCGTATTTCTCCGTTCGCTTAACTCATTCATTCATTCAATCAATCTTTCATTCATTCACTTATTTATTCATTCATTTTGATGTCATCTGAATAAATAATCAATTAATTTATGTGTTTTATTATATTTAATGACTGTATTAGCGTTAGTGTGTTAGCCAAACCTAATTAGGTAATTATGACAAATTATGCCAGGGTAATTCACAAAGATATCATTATAATAGTCACTCGTGTGTCTAATAATCAATTAATTTTGTGATTTTTATTGTTTTTCTATAATTATATAAATAGGTGTTATTTTAATATTAAATGAGATATTTTTATTGCACTAAAAGACTACTAAATTTTAAAGACATAAATATATTTTAACTTTTAAAAGCACTCTATTTTTTATATTCTTCTTCTAATGTACTATTCATTTATCAACAAATAATATGTGTTAACAGTGTGTTTGAGAAAACAAAAAACATATTTTACTTTTCAGTTTTCATTTGTTTTAATAGACACCTCTTCTTCTCAAAGACAGCGGTTTTTTCTTGTAAAATATGTCTAAAAACTTATTATTTTTATTGTATTTTTTGGAAATTGTGTTTTACTTTTGTTTTTAATGGAGAAAATTTTTTTGTTAGAGAAAATATTTGATGGAAAATGTAATGGAAAACAAAATTCATTACTGAATGATAAAGAATTGTCATTAAGTGAATAAAGATTTGTTGCCTCTGTATGTGTAAAAAGCTCTCCTTTTTTCATAACAATATTCAAAATTGCTTTCAAGAAAATACTTCATTCCTTTGGACACAAAAAAGAGAGTAAAGAAAACTAATAATGAATTCTCTTTTCTTCGTTCATCTCATTCTTAGCGCTAATTTCGATTCAAACACTCCTTCGATATATAATTAAAAGGAGAAAATTCTTTGTGTTATTGAATATATTTGTAATGAATTGTGTGAAAGGAATATATATTCTTTCGACTCTTTTTTGTGCTCAAGTGTTGATCACAACAAACAGACGCTTATGTTATATATGAAAAAATAGTGGGAAATAAGTAGCGATAGGAGTAAAGAGTGAGAAAATGGTTTTGATGAGGACATGCCTGATGTATGTGATGTATGATCTGTTGATGTGTCGAATCCTCTAATGACTTGCCATTGATCTCAAGAATTTCGTCGCAATCACTCCTCTCTGCCGGAGAACCTATTGATGAGAAAAAATGAATTCAATGATAGAAATGTCTTCTCTATTAGTCTTTTGGGTTCCCAAACACTAATGTGAAGGACTCTCTCTATGATCGACAATAAGTTGGTTGTGATAAGACAGACAACTCTATTACCACTGCATATAATTTATATAAGTTTGTGTATAAGAATTTATTGTTATATTTGTGTATATTATATATAGATCTATAGAAATTCCCAAAGAATGTCAGAAATCGATATATAATTAAATGTTTAGTTTTATTAAAGTTTCGTTTTGGGCCAAAACAAGGGACAAATGCATGGTTAAGATGTGATGCGAGAGAGCATTGAGAACACATTGAGAACCAATACAGACAACAGTGACAGATGCCAAACACTTATCTTATAAGTGATATAACTTAATGATCTCTATTCACGCCAGCATTCAGTCAGACTATAAACTAATGTAAATACAAGACAAATTTCTTTTTGTTTCTCACAAACAAATATCGTTAACTTCACTCATTAGACGGTCTCTCATATGTTAGGGTTAATCAAATAATCAAATATTATTGATATATGAATTCTCCGGTAGTCTATGTACTCTATCTAAATTAGCATCTCATTAATCTCTCTCTCTCTCTCTCTCTCTCTCATCCATTTCTTAATATCAATCTTTGATATATGTGTCAAACATAGTATATAGAAGTCAAACACTAAAACAAAACTAATATTAGAGCGAGAATTCAATATTTATTTTAAGCGACAGAATAAAAAAAAACTCGGACTAAAAAAAGTTTACCAAATATTGCAATAGTTTTTTGATGGCAACAAAAATCTTACAAAAAGCATCTGTCGCTTAACAGTTGGAAAAAGGCGTTTACAAGTATTGCAACTTATATTTTGTTTCGGTGTTTATCTTATATGTGAGCCAAACACACAAATCAATCGTTAAAACAATGTTTTTCTGTCAAAAAAAAACAATTTAATCAAATGTTTTAAAGTTTTTGAAAATATTCAGTAAAACCATGAATTGATTTGAGAGGCGATAGGAGTTTACACTGCAATGCAATGCACAGCACATCTCAGACTCCGTACACAACAACACAACACAAACCGATTGTAAACAAAGTTTTGTTGTGTTTTAAAAGCAGTCATTGTTTTGGACTTTAAATAGTAATTCACACAAAAGATTATCAAATCATTTGTCGGATCCATTACTTCAGCCGTTATTGTCTTTGATATTAATCAGTGGTGTTGTTGTGCGCAAAGAGTGGCCGATATATACCATGATTAGACGTCGAGGGCTAGGGTTGGGTGCGATTCAACGCAAACAACAAACTGATGCCAAATATCAGGAGAAACGCGAAGAGATGGCCACCGAAGAGATCAACAAACTCTCGGACCAGATGTCGGAGTTTCGCACAAAACTCCAAGAGTTCGCTCAGAAGCACAAGAAAGACATCAAACGGGACGCAGAGTTTCGCCGCCAGTTTCAGACGATGTGCGCGACGGTAGGCGTGGATCCGCTCCAGTCGTCGGCCAACTTCTGGACCAAATTGCTGGGCGTCGGCGACTTCTACTACGAGTTGGCCGTTCAGGCCATCGAAGTCTGTATGAGTACCAGTCATCGCAACGGAGGCCTCATTGGGATCAATGAATTGCATTCAAGAGTTCTTCAGTCGAGAAATACGGCAAATCTGCGCCAACAGAAGCCCGACGACGAGATATCGGTCGACGACTTGATCCGCGCGATCGACAAGTTGTCAAAATTGGGATCCGGTCTGAAACTGATGTCTTGCGGCAAAACATATATCGTTCAGTCGATAGCATCGGAGTTGAGTTTAGACCAGAACACAGTCATACAGACGGCTCAGTCGGGCAACGGATCCGTAAGCCTACCGCTGCTCATAAAGGACTTGCAGTGGACTGAAGAGAGGGCTAAGAAGGCCATCAACGATATGGTTATGGAGGGAGTGGTTTGGATCGACAAACAGTCGCCCACTGGTCACACACTCTATTGGTTCCCCGGTCTTCGCCATTCATTGTCATACAAATGAGATATTTATTTACATTTAAACTGTTTTATATATCAATTCAATTAATTTTTCTATATTTATAAAATAAGTGTTAAATTATATGTAAATTATTGTAATTAAAGACTGTTTTATTATAAAGAGATTAACAAATGTAACACTAATTTGTGATTCAAAACTTGAAATGTTTGGCATTACTCCTGACGTGTGGGGCCGACGGCCGCGACAAATGGACAATCGGTTCGTGTTTTTCCAATTCAATGCTCTGAATGTCTGACTCTTTGTTGAGATACTGAGCGACCACTTGTGCGACCACTTGTGTCGGCGGAACGTTGTATTGAGGCATACAATCGGTGGACGACTGTTCATACCGGAGCCGAAAGCCCTCCTTATATGTGGGATCGATTTGGAAGGGATCCGAATGGAAGCGAAGCACAATCGGACCGTTGGCTTTGGTCACGACGGGAGCGTCGCTAACCATATCGGGCGCGTAGTTGAGTCGTCCGCCGCAGTATCGGTCGCGAGTCGGGTGGTCTCCCCTCTGAGAACCGCCCGGAATCATGAGGTAGTCGTTATCGCACGTGTCGTCGCCGGTGCCCGACCGCGACCTATCGCTCTGAGTGCTGTCTATTGACCACATGAAGTCCGAGGCCGAGAATGTGACCCGACATGTGTTGGGCTGCCGTTCGATACAAATGCCGTAATCCATGTTATTTAGGTATTCGCCGAAATTGAAACTATCGATAGTACCCGAGGCTTGAGTGAAATACTGCACCAAAACAAATGATACGCTTGTCGTTAGACTATCACTCGATGTCTAGATTCTTAGATTATCGTATGAAATGACACTCACTTGAAGGCAACCCATGGGTGCGGGCAGTGAGAAGGGCGGGTGAGCTCTGGGGAAGAATGGTATGTAAGGCGCGCCACCGAATTGTCTCGAATTCCTGTCCGAAAGTAAATTCTTTTTGTTTCGGAAATTGCAGTCAATTTGTGTGATCCGGACGTGCCATCGATAGTCGCCCACTGAGTTCGTGTCAAATACTATCGTTGCCGACCTTTCGGGCAAATCTCGGGGTAAACTTATAAACACTATAAAAGGTATAGAAAATTGAGATATAAAATACAATCAATCAAATTGGGGGACAATGTATGCTATACTGTGTTGATTGCGATTAATGCCGCAAAGTGTGGGCACACTTAACGGCGCGAATCCCGACGAAGAGATGTAAAACTTGTCGCCCAAACAATTGCCGAGAGTCGGCGCATCCAACTCGAAGGCCAGGAAATCGAGTCGCAACTGACACACGTCCGTATCGTATATGTTAACGTTGAGGTCACAAAAGTCAGCTTGGCCATCAGACATGGGATAATTGGGATTCTTGAAGTAAACCACTTTATTGGATGTGGTGTTATGACACGAACGAGACACTACCATGGTACAAATCCATGAGCACACCGACACGAGGCAAACGGGCATTAGTTTGAAAATGGTTATTATCGGCCGCTTATTAGTCGCTTACCTATACAACAGACTCCGAGCCCTCGAGCGCAGGGACTGCTGGAAACTCCGGCAAGTTTTTTACACTCCATCGGCGAATAACAAGTGCCGCTTTGGTTACTCGCGTCGAAACACTCCTCGTTTGGGAAGCGGACGACATTTAAAAGACTCGGCCGTTGAAAGAATGGAAACACTTTATGAGAAATGATATCACATATTATCACAAAATTCTTTATGCTATGAAATTCTCGCAAATATTTAGTGAATTCACATAAATATTCTTCACAAACACTTACTTCGCGAGCCATTCATTCTCTCCGATGGAGACTCGGAATCAATTAATTGATCCATTAATGAGAACTCATTTTCCACGAGTCGAGAATTATTATTGAATTCCTGACCAAATATTGCAGAAAATAATCCAATAAATAACACATAAATAACAAATGAATAGAAATCCATGATTTTATGTTTGAGAAAAAACTTTTCATAAATTTATTGAAACGATTCTTTGAATAATAATCAGTAGAAAATAGTTTTACATATCATTTATATATATAATGTGTTGACAATTGGTTTCGCATTAGAAAAATGAGAGAATGAGAAGAAGAACAATGAGTTTTATTTTAAAACACAAGTAAAATAAGTGGACATAAAAAGAAATAATAATTTGGTTTAAATAATAATGAAAAACAATTATTACTAAAACAAATTTTTATAGCATTTTCGATAACATATGCGTGCGATTGACACCGATATCAAGCGATCACACGTTACAGAGTGTCCGGGTATTGGGTTTTGCGGAACAGTGTTAACAATTTCAATACACTATACGCCCAAAACACTCACGTCTTTATGGTATTACATGTAAGAAATATATCGTGTTTTTGAACTCATAATCAAATTGAAGGTAAATATAAAAAATTAGGCCTAAAATAGCGTTAATTTTTCCGTCCGTTTGCATAAGAAATATAAAGTGAAAAGAATTTAACAAATTTATGGCAATTTGAATGACATTCGTATTTGAATACCACATTTGAAACACTATTTACTATTAATTCAATGCCTTATCGCTAATAATTGTTTTGTTTGTGACAAAAATAGCGCTTCAAATGTCTCTTCGCTATCACAGAATCTATTGATTTATATTTAAATAATATATTTAAAAATATATATATGTTTTGTTGACAAGAAATTGTATTTATTATTCTCTATACTTGTATACTATTAATTCAAAATTCGCTAAAATCTTATTAAACTATTTTGTATATCTTTATAGAGTTTGTCGTCTAATCGCAAGTATTTATCTTTTTTGGCGTCAAAGAAATAAATTGGTTCTCGAATTACATTTGGATCATAGCCTTCATTCTGGAGACTATTTTTGGGCAATTTATGCGTTCCCGTCATCTCAAGACATTTGCACATTCGTATGAATACCGGTATCGCAAATGAGGGCAAAACTTTCTTCAAGTTCTGCAACAACTTATTCAAATCCAAACCGTTTTTCTCGTCAAGAATGGCAGCCATTCCGGCCCGACCTTCACAACCGGGAACTTCCACACCATAGACAACGCAATCAACCAAATGAATCAATTTACTGATAATCGACTCGATCTCCATTGTCGACACGTTCTCACCCTTCCATCGATACGTGTCTCCCGTCCTATCTTTGAAGTAAAGGTATCCGAACTCATCCATTGTCAACAGATCTCCCGAAGCGAATGCTTTGTCGCCCTTATTGAACACATCGTATATGATCTTCTTCTTTGTCGCCTCTTTGTTCGCGTAGCCATCGAAAGCACGGGTCGGATCCGAATCAATGATTTTGCCCACAAATTCGCCCGTTTCGTAGGGCTTGGCCTTAAGGCACAGACCCCTCTTGTCCCGCACGTGTTCGCCCGTCGACTCCTTCACCCTCACGAGTGTCGCCGGATATAAGAAGGGAGCGATTTGTGATATAAAGCCACACGAGCCCTCCTTATTGTCCACGTTTACTATTGGCAACAATCAGTCATTCATATTACAAAACTTATACTCAATTAATATTAGTTATCATTACTTATATTAGCGTTGCCTTCGGTAGAGCCATAGAGTTCTCCCACTTGTTTAATAGCAAACCGTTGGGTAAACTCTTTCCAGATCTTAGGCCGGAGTCCATTGCCAAATATGATCCTCACGTTGTGTTGTTTGTCAGACGGGTGAGGCTTTTGGGCCAATAGATACCGACATATTTCACCGATATATTGTGCGGCCTTACAAGTCATTGGGTAACAAATATTGAGTAAAAATATGTAAATCTATTTTGTAAATGAGATTACAGTGCAGTTGTATTTAATGCAATCCTTCCAGAAGTTTGATGCGGAAAATTTGTTACGTATGGCCATTGAATTGCCGTATATGAGACACTGACAGGTGCCGAGAGTGCCACCGGCCAAGTGGTACAGCGGAAGACTAGTGTATAAAACGTCGTCGTCTCGAAGTTTAATCATATTCTTGATGGCAGAGCCCATCCATATGTATCGGCTGTGCTTAATAATGGCCGCCTTCGGCAGACCAGTTGTTCCCGAAGTGTAAATATAAAATAATCGATCTATAAATGCAATTCATTGGTAAATATTATTTATCAAATCAAAACAAATCGTTAAACGCAAAAACAAATAAGCTCATCGATTATGCATTCAATTTTTTATCTCACAAAAACAAACATTAATTTTACAGTTAAGCAAAATAACCATAATTTATGCCAAAATAAAGATTTAAAATAAGATTTGGTGTCAGATATGCAATAATCAAAAGAATTTCGTAATTGATATATAAACGACATTAAATGCCAATGAAAAACAAGAATCCTTTCATAATCGTAATAATAAAAACATAAAAATAACATAAAACATGATTTCCTCAATTCACTCGTTTGAAAACAATTTAAGCGATTTGTAAAAATATGAGAAAATGGTATCAATTTAGTCGCAATTACAATGTTTAATATATCGTTTAAATGCCTATAAATGTATTTGAAAACAATGTATGGATTGCATTACCATTGAAGTTGCCTCTGTTCAAAGTTGAAGGTCTATCGCAACTACTTTCGCCAATAAGTTGTTTAAGTGGTTTGGCTTTAATAACACCATTTGGATCCGTGTCTCCAAAGCAAAAGTATTGCATCGTTCCGTTCCCATTGAGCGCAGGTATGGCTTCGGCAACAGCTAAATGAGAGAGTGTGTCGTTTCAATGCATATATTAATCACATTTTAAATACTATATTAATAGAAATATTTGCATTTAAGGCGTTATAAAATTTCCCAAAACATTACTTTCCAAACATTTTAAAATACATAAAATCAAATCAGATTATTTGCATTTATTTACCGGCACTGAGTTCGCTGCCAAAGATTAATGCCTTGCACTTCACAACAGTCACCGAATGGATCAATTGATCGGCGCGTAAATTTGTATTGATTAGAGCTGTGACGAGACCAGCTTTGGCTAATCCTAACCATATGCCCACATATTCTGGTTTATTGTCCATAAAAAGGGCCACTTCTTGGCCGGGATGGTAGCCGTACTCGAGGAATAAATTGGCCACTCTGTTGGAAAACTCGTCGATCTCTCCAAACGTCCATTTCTGGTCTTCGAAGTAGAAGAGCACCCGATTTGAGTGCTTTCGGCAAAGTTTAGTAAATAATTTGGGAACCGTTGCGTTCTGTCTCTTCAATATGTATAAAAACAATTGGGTTCTCTTGAATCGGATTAGACTCCTAAACACGTGTGATATGCAAAACAATATACCAATTAATATGTGTTACAAACTTCCATATTTGCCAAATAAGTGTTTTAAATAATAAATTAGTAAATAATGATCATTTAATAAATTCAAAGCCATAGTTAGAGTATAATAAAAGGATATTTCATTCTCAAAACTAATATATTAAAGATTTGCTATCAAATGAGATATAAATTAAACCAAACGACCCATAAATTGCTTGCTTTAAGAGCTACGGAAGAGTAAAAGTGAGAGACGAGGAAAACTCATAAATATCTAAATATTTGGATAACTCTTTGGAAGCACTTAATAGCTATTAATTTAGCAAATGCTTCATTCATTAGAAACAAGTGGAAGCCTTTTCCTGAACCCTATTAATAAATACCGACAGTAAACAAATCGATAGAAAAATTATAGATATCGATTGAAAGTAAAATGTAAAAAATTGAGAATAAGTGTTACTTAAATAAAAAAGAAAACATTAGTGTATATTTAGGTAAAAATACTGTATTTCAAAAATTTTTAACAATAAGTGCAAAAATTTAGATTTATGTAAGTGTTTGCATTTGAAAATGATTATATTATTTTTATTGTTATAGAGATAAACATGGGATTATCGCAGATATATTGATCGACATTTTTTTTCATAAGACAAATATATATTTCTTTATATACTTTATATATATTATATATTGTGTTTTAAGTGAATGGAAAATTAAGTCCAATTTACACATTAAGGCAATCATCGATAGCGAGAGAGCGACCTCTCGACCCATTCCATCAGCAAATCATATAAATTTAAGCAAACTTTCCTTTAACAGCAAAAAAAAACAGTTTAACATTCAATTTCAATCACAAAACAAAAATCATATTTTCCTAATACAAGTGATACCTAAGGAAAATCGGTGTCAAGTTTAGAACGAGAGAGAGAGAGAGAGAGAGAGAGAGAGAGAGAGAGAGGTTGTACATTAGATTAAAATCTATGTTTTTTGTGCAATTTATGCCTCAATTAAGTTTTGGAATATATTATAGAGGAAAGTAAAGTCGATTAACATTGAGAGTCACATAACTGTATATAATTGGGTATTTGTGGAGAAAAATACACAAATACTATGTGATTAACAAATCATTTCATCCATTTTGACATCATTTACAATCAGTTTTAAGACATATTTCTTAAAAACAAATTTCTAATAATATTAATATCATAGCAGAGAATAGAGAGGGATATGAAAAACAAGCAATACTTTCTACAATACAGTGTACAGTGAGTACTATGGGTGCGATTGTAAGCCGACCTCAATCGGAGATTTATAAATCTGTTAGTATTTCGACAATTTGTAGGCCATTAACACACTTATTATTTTAATATAAGTAAAAACATAATTTATATAAATATATTTTACACTAAAGACATGTTTATGTAGACTATACGACAAATAGCAAAGTGTTTGCAATAACTAAACAATAGATTATAAGTATAGGAAATTCCCAATATTTTCTCGCATTAATAAATCAAAACATTAGAAAAATATTAAATAAATAGATTTTACTAAAAAGTGAGGGCATGTGTGAGAGTTACACACATCAAACATTAAAACTTTAATTGATTTAAACAATCTTTAGTTAAATATACAGTATAAGTTATACTGTTATACGTTATACTGTATAACGTATTTCCTCAACAAAATGTATATTTACTTTATTAATAACATTAAAAGATCTTAATTTACTCTTTAATGTGAGTAATCAATAGGTTTTGACAGTATTTCTAAAACACAAACATTAAAAAGAAAACTGAAATAAATAGGAAAATAAAACAAACCGTTTGAATGCTTTCTAATATTATATTTGGGAAATTCCTTCACAACAAAACCAATATTTTCTCGCATTAATAAATCAAAACATTAGAAAAATATTAAATAAATAGATTTTACTAAAAAGTGAGGGCATGTGTGAGAGTTACACACATCAAACATTAAAACTTTAATTGATTTAAACATAATCTTTAGTTAAATATACAGCATAACGTATTTCCTCAACAAATGTATATTTACTTTATTAATAACATTAAAAGATCTTAATTTACTCTTTAATGCGAGCAATCAATAGGTTTTGACAGTATTTCTAAAACACAAACATTAAAAAGAAAACTGAAATAAATAGGAAAATAAAACAAACCGTTTGAATGCTTTCTAATATTATATTTGGGAAATTCCTTCACAACAAATATCTCATAAATCCATTTATAGCTCATTAACCCTAAAATATATGAGATTCTTGTGATAACTGTTTGTCGACAGAAAAAATTCAAGTTTCACGTCTCTCTCTCCTCTACATAGCAATAACTGTTGAGTGCATTTGAATGTAAGTCGACAATAAAATTCAAACAATATTTACTTCAATTATAGATTTGTTTAAAAAGTATGATTTTATCTAAAAATAAGTGCAACAAAATATAGACTCACTTAAGATCGCGTCCAACTGTGTTATAGAAAACCCATGCGAACCGATAGCCGCCAGTAATGAGATGTAAGACAAACACTAATATTAATGCTTTCCATAAAGCTATGGCCGGACCAGTGATCAGACCGATAATTATGGCCACAAATAGCAGTGTTTTCATCAGAAACTTATTTCTGTCGTTAATTGCCGTCAAATTGAAACTCATGTTTGAAACGTGAAAAGTTGTTGACTATTAAGACATTAACTCTTCAAACATAGAGTTTTTGAGTGCAAACGATATGCTGTGAGAGAGTCTGAGAGAGAATGAAGAGAAACACAACTAAAACACAAACTAAACCATTGGTACAACTCTTGGATCGGAATCCAGTTTTCGCCAAATGGATGAATGGGACGGATCTGTGTATATGTTAGGAGAGAGAGGACAGGTATTAATGAGAAATACAGTTATAAATCAATTGATTAATTGCAAAATGTTTAACGAATAAAAAACAAATTTTCAATAACTAACAAAATTAAATGTAAATTAATTAAATTAAACACAAGATTAACTATTTTAAGCAATATTTTTATCGCATATCGTTTCCAGACATTGAAATTAAAAAACTTGTCAATTATAGCATGTATTTATCGGAAGTCCATATCATAAACATATAGATATTTATTATACCGTAAATAGTATTACAAATATTAATATAATCTATAAATAATTCATAAAAAATCGTCCGATTATTAGCTAATAATGAGTTAATAATATTTTAAATATAAGTGATATTTATATAAGTAATATAACACACACTATAAATGGCAATTAAAAGTATCAAGTGTTTCAACACTTCAACCAATAATCAAATCACTTCACAATTCATGTAAAACTTTAAATTACATATAATTAACAAAATAAATATATATTGTATTAAAGAGTAATAAAAACAATTAACGGCTAATTAACTAAAATAACTGTTTTGTATGCAATTGTTAGCCAAATATCGCAAATAATCGTGAAATATATGGTAAAAACATAACTGTAAATAAAAAATATGTGACTAAACATGAAATTTACATTAAATTAAACGCCGGACAACAGTCTGAGAGATACAACACAAACTAATTGTGAATAAAATGCATAAATGTATCTCAAAATGAGGCACAAAATCAACGCATAATTAATAACTAAATAAAATTCAATTAAAAAAACATATCATATTTGAGGGCATATTTTTGACGGTCACTACACGTTATGAATGCCATGAATACACATAAACACATCACTCATAGTATTAAGTGATTGTATGAATGCTTACCATTGGATTCAGTGTTTATACCAAATGATACAATCAATTCAATGCTTACATTCAGTCCATTAAATCCAGTCATTCATTACAATTAGGGCTTAATTTGGACAAAACATAACACTATTTCTCATCTCATTTTTTAAAAGCCTGTTATTTACGTTCATAAACGCTCTCTCAATACGTGTCCACAAATTACGTCCACTTAAAACGTGTCTTCATTTTATTTGCCGACGTTTTTGATGCCCTCTTCACTCAAATAAGAGAGACAATGCTTTATAGCGAATGATTCAAATACAACGTAACGCCTGGTGAGGGGGGAGGGGGTAGGGGTTGACCCCAGAACCAATTGGATGGTACGAAACGGAGTGTTTGACAACTGTTTTGTTGTACTGGTGTTTGTGTGTGAAGTGACTCGTTATGTGTTGAAGACTACGTGCAGTGTTTGACTCAAATATTACAGTCTTTTTAGGGTTGAAGTGAACGCTAATCACAAATTGAATTCATTTTCGCCATTCATTTCGATTGAACGCTGAATTGAAGCACACGTTTGGATACAAGACTTGATTTGCGGATCAATTGAAATTCATTTTACCGGTCATTGAATCCGCGCATCGATTGAGTGTTTGAATCGCAAGAATGGAGTCAAGCAATGGTTCGTCGGCCGCCTCTCAGGCCATCTCTAATCAGGCCTTTCAGGAGGCGTTACAACGCGCCCGACAGGTCTGTACACCACATGTGGCCATCACTGCCACCCAAAACACATCCATTAGATCTCGAGTTAATCTCTTTTTTATTACCCAACAGTTGGCGGCGAAGATCAATAGGGAAGCCGGCGGTGGTTCCGGTGGTGGCGGAGGGGGTGGCGGTGGCGGCGGAGGACCACCTCTAGGAGGTCCGCCACCCTCTGGCGACAGAGACAGAGA